GCCGAGCTGGCTTGGCCGACGGAGGGTTGTTGGGAGAAGTCGACCACCGCGACGCGAGCGTTCCCCCGGTCGGATGTGTGAATCATGTAGCGTTGAGCGCAGGTGTGCGTGCTGCCGGCCACTTTTCGCGCTCGCACGCCATAGTTAGCGAGGCACGGGTCACCCTTTGAACCCTCTGATATCAGCGCCTTGACCGAGGCATGCCGTTGACCGAGGCGTCTTCGGCAGGCGCAGGAAGTGCTAGCGTTGCGGGGAGAACTCCTGCGGATTAGCACACATGAATTCTGCATTTGTCTGCACACCTTTCGCGCACGGGCGTTCTTGGTAGCCGCAGTGCCAAGGAGAGCTTGCGAAGGCCCCAAGGTCGCCCAAGCAACGCCTCAAGAGCGCATCATGAACGACCCACTAAGAGGGGCTCGAAACGAGACGATCGGCCCATGACGCGCCCCCAGGGTTCCCTCAGAAGGTTGAAGACAGCCGATGAGAGCCTCAAGCAGGAGGGTGAGGATGAGGATGGTGATCATGATGATGACGATGATGATGCTGATGTTGTTGATGATGATGATAATGCTGATGATGCTGATGATGTTGATGTTGATCGTGATGATGATGACGCTGCTGCTGATGCTGCTGATGATGACGATTATGACGATGATGATGCCGATGATGTTCATAATGCTGATGATGAGGCTGATGATGATGGTATTGGGGCTGCTGATAACGACTATGATGATGCTGGCGATGATGAGGATGTTGCTGCTGATGATGCTGATTATGATGATGGTGCTGCTGCTGATGATGATGATGATGATGTTGAGTAGGATGCTGCTGACGATTGCGACTGCGACGATGATGAAGACGACGAGGATCATGATGGTGGCGATGCTGATGATGGTGACGATGGTGATGCTGCTGCTGCTGATGATACTGATGATTATGATGATGAATCAGGTGACGATGTTGCTGCTGCTGATGATGACGATGGTGGTGGTGATGATGAGGATACTGATGATGGTGATGATGATGATGACAATGATGGTTATGATGATGATGATGATGATGCTGCTGATGATGATGATGCTGATTCTGATGATGATGATGATGATGCTGATGCTGATCATGATGCCGCTGATGATGATGCTGATTCTGATGATGATGACGATGCTGCTGATGCTGCTGCCCATGATGATGCTGATGCTGATGCTGCTGATGCTGATGATGGTGATGCTGATGCTGCTGATCGTGATGATGATCATGCTGCTGCTGCTTCTGATGATGATGCTGCTGCTGACGACAATAATGACGATGATGATGCTGATGATGATGACGACGATGATGGTGATGATGATGATGATGATGATGACGATGATGCTGCTGATGATGATGATGATGATGATGATGATGATGATGATGATGATGATGATGATGATGATGATGATGATGATGATGATGATGATGATGATGATGATGATGATGATGATGATGATGATGCTGATGATGATGATGATGATGATGATGATGATGATGATGATGATGATGATGATGATGATGCTGATGGTGAGGATGCTGATGAGGATGATGAGGAAGAAGAGGACGAGGGGGAGGAGGAGGCGCATGAGGGTGAGGTGGAGGAGGATGATGATGATGAGGAGGAGGAGGAGGAGGAGGAGAAGATGAAACGGCACACACAATCGGTCGCGGATGGACGACGCGTACGGTAGGTTTGCGTCGTGTCGACCAGCGGCGACCCCAGCGCGGGCGTTCAAGGTTGAACGCCGCCGGCGACCCGGAATCGATCGATGTTGAACGATTGGACGTTGCGGCAGCGGCCGATCGTTCAAGGTTGAACGATCCCTGCGGTGTCAAAAACCAACGCTGGGGTCGGCACGACACGAACCTGCCGTAGGCGGATTTGGATGATGATGAACCACAAGATGATTTGGAGATGGATTGATGAGGGAATCGAATTGGCCCGGGGGTCGAGCCATGTTATTGCGGAGGTGGCGGCGGAGAAAGAAGAGGCACAGATGAGGAGGAGAATGATGAGCTGGAGGAGGAGGGTGATGAGGAGGAGGTGGAGGAAAATGAGGGGGAGGAGGAGGAACATGAGGAGGAGGAGGAGGAGGAGGAGGGAGGAGGGTGAGGAATAGAAGGACTATATAGCAGTGGGGTGATATTTGTCTACGATGGAGGAGGGGGTTGGGTGGGATGGAAGGGGAAGGACGGGGGAAATGGGGAGGAGGGGGGAGGACGAGGACGACCAGGAGGGATGATGGAGGCGGGAGGAGGGAGGAGGGAGGAGGCACGATGATGATGAGGAGGCGGGAGAGGAAAAGGAGGAGGAGGAGGATGTGGAGGAGGATGCAGAGAAGGAGGAGAGGGAGGAGGAGGAGGAGGAGGAGGAGGAGGAGGAGGAGGAGGAGGAGGAATGCGGATGAGGAGGAGAAGGAGGAGGATGATGAGGAGGAGGAGGAGGCGGAGGAGAGGGCGACGTGGAGAA